GATATCGGTACACTGACTGGTGTCTCCCAGTACCCTCTCTCTCAGGGATATATCTGTACACTGAATGGGGTGTCTCAGTCTGCTCCCTCTCAGCGATATACCTGTACACTGACTGGTGTCTCTCAGTCCCCTCTCTCTCAGGGATATATTTGTACACTGACTGGTGTCTCTCAGTCCCCTCTCTCTCAGGGATATATTTGTACACTGACTGGTGTCTCTCAGTCCCCTCACTCTCTCAGAGTGATATCTGTACACTGGCTGGTGTCTCTCTGTCCCCTCTCTCTCTCAGGGAGATATCTGTACACTGATGGTTGTCTCTCAGTCCCCTCTCTCTCAGTGCGATATCTGTACACTGACTGGTGTCTCTCAGTCCCCTCTCACGCTCAGGGAGATTTCTGTACACTGACTGGTGTCTGTCAGTCCCCTCTCACTCATGGAGATATCTGTACACTGACTGGTGTCTCTCGGTCCCTCTCTCTCAGGGAGGTATCTTCACATTGACTGGTGTCTCTCAGTCCCCTCTCTCTCAGGGAGATATCTATACACTGACTGGTGTCTGTCAGTATTTCTCTCCCTCTCACTCTCTCTCTCTTTCTCTCTCTCTCTCATGGAGATATATGTATGCCGATTGGTGTTAGTCTAATTTCTCTGACGGAGAGAACTGTAACTGACGATTGTCTCTCAGTCCATCTTTCTCTCAGGGAGGTATTGCACACTGAACAGTGTCTCTCAGGCCTTCTGTCTTTCTGGGAGATATCGGTACACTGACTTGTGTCTCTCAGTACCCTCTCTCTCAGGGAGATATCTGCACACTGACTGGTGTCTCTCAGTCCCCTCTCTCTCAGGGAGATATCTGTACACTGACTGGTGTCTCTCAGTCCCCACTCTCTCTCAGGGAGATTTCTGTGCACTGACTGGTTTCTCCCATTCCCCGTCTCTGTCAGGGAGATTTCTGTACACTGACTGGTGCCTCTCAGACTCCTCTCTCTCAGTGAGATATCTGTACACTGACTGGTATCTTTCAGTCCTTCTGTCTCAGCGAGTTATGTGTATGCTGACTGGTGTCTCTGAGTCCCTCTCTCTCACACTAACTGGTCGCTCTCAGTCCACTGTCTCTCACGGCTATATCTGTACACTGACTGGAGTCTCGCAGTCCCCCGTCTCTCAGGGAGGTATCTGTACACTGACTGGTGTCTCTCAGTCCCCTGTCTCTCTCACGGAGATTTCTGTACACTGACTGGTGTCTCTCAGTCCCCTCTCTCTCGTAGGGAGTTATCTGTACACTGACTGGTATCTCTCAGTCCCCTCTCTCCCTCATGGAGATATCTGTACACTGACTGGTGGCTCTCCGTCCCCTCTCTCTCTCAGGGAGATATCTGCACACTGACTGGTGTCTCTCTGTCCCCTCTCTCTCAGGGATATATCTGTACACTGACTGGTGTCTCTCAGTCCCTCTCTCTTTCAGGGAGATATCTGTACACTGACTGGTGTCTCTCAGTCCCTCTGTCTCTCAGGGAGATATCTGTACACTGACTGGTGCCTCTCAGTTCCCCCCTCTCTCTCTCAGGGAGATATCTGTACACTGACTGGTGTCTCTCAATCCCCTCTCTCTCTCAGGGAGATATCTGTACACTGACTGGTGTCTCTCAATCCCCTCTCTCTCTCAGGGAGTTATCTGTACACTGACCAGTGTCTCTCATTTCCCCCTCTCAGGCAGATATCTGTACACTGACCGGTGTCTCTCAGTCCCTCTCTCTCTCAGGGGGATATCTGTAAACTGACTGGTGTTTCTCAGTCCCCTCTCTCAGGGAGATATTTGTACACTTACTGGTGTCTCTCAGGTCCCCCTCTTTCAGGGAGATATCTGTATTTGACTTGTTTCTCTCATTTCCCTGTCTCTCTCAGGGAGATTTCTGTACACTGACTGGTGCCTCTCAGACTCCTCTCTTTCAGGGAGATATCTGTACATTGACTGGTATCTTTCAGTCCTTCTGTCTCAGGGAGTTATGTGTACGCTGACTGGTGCCTCTGAGTCCCTCTCTCTCTCAGAGAGATATCTGTACACTAACTGGTGTCTCTCAGTCCGCTGTCTCTCAGGGCGATATCTGTACACTGTCTGGAGTCTTGCAGTCCCCCGTCTCTCAGGGAGATATCTGTACACTGACTGGTATCTCTCAGTCCCCTCTCTCTCAGGAAGCTATCTGTACACTGACTGGTATCTTTAGGTCCCCTCTCTCTCAGGGAGACATCTGTACACTGACTGGTGTCTCTCAGTCCCTCTCTCTGTGAGGGAGATATCTTTGGATAGGTTTAGGGTGTAAATTCTGATCTTACCTTCCTGGCCTGATGTCTCCAAATGGGTGACGAGATCGCAACCAAACACTCTCTCCTTCGCTTGGTTTTTCTTTTTCCCTTTCTGTCGTTTCATCCTTGAGCCGTGGTCTTGTCCAATCTCTCTCTGATTGTCTGCACCCTCGTGTTGGGTCCCTCATCGAGGCTTGCAGTTTTTGGGCATTGGGCCTAACTGATTTTTTTTGACTCTTGGCCTACATTCGCCTGAGGCCTGAGGCCTGCTGGTGCTTCCTCTCCCACCAACAGGTCACTGAACCACTCCGTTGATTCGTTTTCACAGTGTCTCTGTCTGTCTCTTTCCTTTCACACCCTCATTTCCTCTGGTTTGTTGCAAGACGTTTGTTCTTGCGGGCACCCAGTGCTGAGAAGCCCCTTATGATAGGCCCTTTTCTCACTAATTGGCCAAATGTTGTGAATTATCGAGGACCGGCTTTCCCTGGCAATTCCTGAAGGATTGGACTGAGAACTGGGCCTATGAATCTGGGTCTCAGCGAATCCCCCAGCTTTGATTTCCGCTCGCTCAGGAAGTGAGAGAGAGAGGGGGAGAGGGAGGATGTATGAGCAAGAGGGAGGGGTGAGAGCAACGTCAAGGGAAAGAGAGAGAGGGAGATGAAGATGGAAGACTTGCGATGGGTTTGTCTTGCACCAAGCCGTTGGATTCCTCCGGTCTCTCTCGCTTGTGACTTCTCGTGCACTTGTCAAAAACCGATCCACTCCACCCCATAACACCTCATCGGCAGGAAGCTTCTCTCTCTCTTTCTGAGCTCTCGATCAAAACCACTTCCTGTTTTAACATTCTCTGGTGGACGGAGAAGGGCAGAGAGCGAAACAGATCTAGAGCGAAAAAGGGAGAAGGAAAAGAGAGAGGCAGAGGTGAAGAGACGGGGAGAGAAACACTCTCTCAGATGTGGAGCGGAAACAGAAGAGGAGGGGGAAATGCAGCGAGGGAGGGGTGTAGTGAATGTGACAGAGCTAGAGAGATAGAGGGGTCAGGTGGAGAGAGAAGGAGCCACAGATTGAAAAGCACACAGAGAGACAGGAAGAGACAGCGATGGAGAGGAATACAGGGAAATAGAGAGAGAGAGAAGCAGAGGGGTCAGACCATGAGAGAGAGGCAGGGTGATAGAGAGATAGAGACAAAGAGAGATGGAGGGGTCAGGTGGAGAGAGAAGGAAATGCGGAGAGAGAAGGCTACAGGGAATAGAAGGATAGAGAGGGGTACATACAGGGAGATGGAGAAGGATACAGGGAGATAAAGAGAAATAGAGGGATCAGGTGAAGAGAGATGGAGATAGAGAGAGAAAGACAGAGAGGGATAGATGGAGAGAGAGGAAGACAGCTAGAGAGGGATACAGAAGGACAGAGAGCGAGACAGAGAGGGATAGGTGGAGAGAGGAAGACGGATAGACAGGGATACAGATAGATAGGGAGAGGGAGAAAGGCAGAGAGGGATACAGACGGATAGAGAGACAAAGAGAGAGAGGGATAGGTGGAGAGAGACAGAGGGATACAGAGCAAAAGTGAGGGACGGGTATAGAGGGAGGGAAAGACAGAAAGAGATTGAGATGGAGGTAAAGGAAGAAAGAGAGAGAGACTGGATCACAGAGAGATAAACAAAGCGAAACACAAAGATGGGGAGAGGCACACTGAGGATGATACAGGAGACAGTTGGTGATGGAGAGAATGAGAGACAGAGGCCGAGAGCAAGGTGTGTTGGAGTTGAGCTCTCTCTGTGATTTGATAGCACTGAGTATCCCACCACAATCAGAGAGGTAGTACCCAAAAAACAGAGGCAGGGAGCTTTCAACCAAAATGGGATTGTAATTTTACAGAATATTTACACATTTACACAGAAATTTACAGCTTTTTACAAAACCTAACGACTGAACTCAGAGGCAGAATTTACAGCACAAGCTCAGGACCAAAGATCAAATCTAGACAACAGGATAAAACAAGATATTTACATAGCACCATTAACTCCGCAAAACCTTCCAAGTTGCTTCACAGGAGCATTTTCGTTCTCACTGAGTCACATCCCTGGTATTGAGAACAGATGACCAAAAACACACTCAAAAAGGGAGGTTTTAAGGAACATCTTAGAGGTGGGGGTGAGAGACAGAGAGAAAGATGTTTCAGAAGGGAATTCAGGACCCAAGCACCTGAAGGTACAGCTGCCAATGGTAGATGGATGGGAATCTGGGGATGGACATGAAGCTGGAATAGAGAACAGCGATCTTTGGAGCTGGGGGAGGTTACAGAAATAGGGAGGGTTGTAGTGGCTGCAGGAGGTTACAGAGAAAGGGAGGGGTGTAGGGACTGGAGGAGGTTACAGAGATAGGGAGAGGTGTAGGGGCTGCAGGAGGTTACAGAGATAGGGAGGGGTGTAGGGGCTGGAGGAGGGTACAGTGATAGGGAGGGGTGTAGGGACTGGAGGAGGTTACAGAGATAGGGAGGGGCGTAGGGGCTGGAGGAGGTTACAGAGATAGGGAGGGGTGCAGGGACTGGAGGAGGTTACAGAGATAGGGCGGGGTGTAGGGACTGGAGGTGGTTACAGAGATAGGGAGGGGTGTAGGGGCTGGAGGAGGTTACAGAG